TTCAAAGTGGATTCCTTGCTGCAGCCACCCCACAATGCATTCTTACAGGTCTTTGCCAAGAGGCCTAGAATGAGCTGCTGTGTTATCCTTTGAAAAAAGTTTTAACAGAGTCTTGCTATGTAGCCCAGGCTGGTCTCAAACTCTCAATCCTTCTGCTCCAGAGTTCTGGTATTACAGGCATGCACCACCATTCCTAACTAAATACCCTTTAATCTTCACTTTTATCCCAAATCAGAGGAGCCATCACTTTCTCTAGCCCAGAAAGTTTTTCTATCCCATCATGGAATTCTGCCACGTCATCCTTAATGGAAAGACCAGTCTGGGTGGCAACCCACTCCAAATAAAAGGCAGTCTTCACAATGACCTTTAAGGTCCCGCCCAACCTGACTTCATCTGTACTTGACTCCTGCTGCACAGGCCTCCCTGCTGCTCCTTGAATACTCCAGTTATCCAGATTGGTCTCACCTCAGGACCTTTGCATTTGCTGCTTCCTCAGCTTGAAGTATTCTTCCTTTATTGTGGTATTATGATTTTATAGATCTCCAGCTCCTGCCCACAGCTCCTAAAAACCCTTGTAATTTCCTAAGTGATAAAGATACTCAAAACCCTAAATTCAATCCCTCTTACAGAAAAAAAAAAAAAACCCTAAGTGATAAAGGTAAAAGAGCATCATTTGTCATTCACATTAAGACCCTTTATTTATTTAATTTTTTTTTTGATCTGGCCAAGAGATTCTTTATTGCCGGGTGGGAGAGGGAGAGAGCAGAGAGAGCCAAGAGAGAAGCAGGAGGGGCAAGGGCTTAAATACACCTCAATGGGACTCAGTATGATCTGATTGGTTAGGATCTTATGGTTCATGCTGATTGGAGGTTGGGGCAGAAGGAGGGTTCAAGCTAGACTTGAGGCAGGACCGTGACCCTGGAAGGTAGGACCGTGACCCTGGAAAACAGAAGCTTAAGGGTGCAGTAAGAACTGAAACCTATCAGCGCCATTATTGCCAACATTCCTCCCTTTTTTGTTTGGTTAAGGAAGGGGGGGCGTTGTGTTCGCTCTGGCTTCTTCAAGCTGGCAAGGGGTGGTGTAGGGGAAGGGAGGGTCAGTTGGCAAACAGTGTTGGGGTGGTGAGCTTCATGATGGCGTACACCCAGGCTCTAAAAATGAAGATTTCCTCTTCCCTGAAGTTGATGAAGGTCCCTTGTAGCCACAGGTCCTAAAGAGTCTCGAGCCAATCCTCCGACCTCTGCATGGTGGGTATCAGCCAACTATCCTCATATTTTGGAGAGGTTGGTGTCCCTGGAGGTACAACAAGAAGATGTCCGGTGTTGGATGCGAGTGAGGGCGATTGGGAGGATGAGTCCTGGCCAGTCACGTCCTCAGGGTGGTCGTGGGGAGAGTTGGAATCGGGGTCCCACCAAGATTAGTGGGGAGCCCCGCCCCGAGTCATGGCACCAAATGTAAGGATACATAGGCTCCAAAACTGACCACGTGGAGAGGAGTGATCTGGCCAAGAGATTCTTTATTGCCAGGTGGGAGAGGGAGAGAGCAGAGAGCCAAACATTAAGACCTTTTAAACCACATGTGAATTTGTGTTAATAAGATGACTTCTGGAAAGGCCTTGTTACCAGGGGAATCAATCATGTGATTAAAGAGTGAGAACTTTCAGCTCCACCCACTGATGATTTAATGAATCATTCTTGCATGATGAAGGCTCCATAAACACCAGAAAGGATAGGGATCAGAGGGTTACCAGGATGGCAAACACATAGAGATGCTAGGAGGGTGGTACCCAGGGAGGTATGGAAGCTCCACTCCCATCGCCTCAATTCCTCGTCCTGTGCACTTTTCCATATGGCTGCTCCTGAGTTGTATCCTTTATAATAAATCTGTAAACATAAGTGAAGTGTTTCCCTGAGTTCTGTGAGCTATTCTAGCAAATTATTGAACCAGCCTTCCCTGATTTATAGCTGGTTGACCAGAAATACAAGAGGCTGGGACTCACAACTGGTATCTTAACTGGGAGTGAGTCCTTTAACTTGTGAGATCAATAGATGGTGTCAAAATTAAGTTATATTGTAGGACACTCAGTCAGCATCCACCAAGAACTGGAAAACTGGTTGGTGAGGGAGAAGCCCTCACATGAACTATTGTGAGTATAAAAAAACAAAACAAATCAGTGTGAGATGGGCACCAGTGGCTCACATCCTAGCTACTCAAGAGGCAGAGATCAGGAGGATCATGGTTCAAAGCCAACCTGGGCAAATAGTCTGCAAGATCCTATCTCGAAAAAAAAAAAAATCACAAAAAAAGGGTGGAATGACTCAAGGTCAGCCCCAGTACCACAAAAAAAAGAAAGAAAGAAAAGAAAAACACTGTGGCCAGGCACCAGTGGCTCATGCCTGTAATCCTAGCTACTCAGGAGGCAGAAATCAGGAGGATCAAAGTTTGAAGCTGGCCAGGGCAAATAGTTCTTGAGACCCTATCTCGAAAAAAATCCTTCACAAAAAAGGGCTGGTGGAGTGGCTCAAGGTATAGGCCCTGAGTTCAAACCCCAGTACTGAAAAAAAAAAAAAAAGAAGAAGAAGAAGAAAGAAAAAGAAAACTGTCTTTCCTGGGTTTTTTTTTTTTTTTTTTTTGGTTTGTTTTTTGGCAGCACTGGGATTTGAACTCAGGGCCCCACACTTGGAGGGCCGGTGCTCTTACTGTTTGAGCCACTCTACCAGCCCTTTTTTGTGACAGGTTTTTTCAAGGTAGCATCTTGAGAACTATTTGCTTGGGGCAGGCCTCAAACTATGATCCTCCTGATCTCTGCCTCCTGAGTAGCTAGGATTATAGGTGTGAGCCACTGGTGACTGGCTGTTTTTTCTTTTTATCCATATATCCACATGGCTTGTTCCCCCATCTCCTTGGAATCTGCCTCCCCAACCACCCTGTTCAAACATGCAGTACAAGGCTGGAAGAGAGGCTCAAGGTATAAGAGGGCCTGCCTCAAAAGTGTGAGGCCCTGAGTTCAAACCTCAATGTTGCCAAAAAAAAAAAGTTTCAAACCTGCAGTACACAAGCAGCACTCACATTTCTCCCTTCCCTACTTTTCCTCCATTGCCTTTTTTTTTTTTTTTTTCTTTCAGTACTGGGGTTTGAATTCAGGGCTTTGTGCTTGCTAGGCAGGCTTTCTACCACCTGTCATGTCTCCAGCCCTTTTTGCTCTGGTTATTTTTGAGTTAGAGTCTCGTTTTTTGCCCAGGGCAGCCTGGACCATGATCTTGTTTTATGAGTCCAGCCATTGCTGAGATGACAGGCTCACACCACTATGCCCAGCTATTGGTTGAGATAAAGTCTTGTGTGAACTTTTTGCCTGAGCTGGCCTTGAACTGTGATCCTCCTGATCTCAGTCTCCTAAGTAGCTAGCATTACAGGAATGAGCCACCACATCCAGCTTGTACTTTTTATTTTTATTGTCTGCCTCCCTCAATTAGATTGACCATGAGGATAAAAGTTTTCATTTGATTCATCAGGCTTAGAAGCATACCTGGCAAATATAGCAAGCATTAAATAAACATTTGTTGAATGACTGTATGACTAGAAAAATGAATGATCCCCACCAGGCATAAGAGCCCTGGGAGGGCAGGGTTGCAGTTCTCTCTGCAGGGTGAGAGGGCCATGGCTCTAAAGGAAAGTCAAGAAGCCAGAGTCTAAAAAATATAGCATTTGATGTCTTCAATGCAAAGGAACTACTGCAGAAACTTTAAAGCAACAGAGGCCAATAGGAGAAGGGGACTAGGAACTAGAGAAAAGGATACTTTGAGAAGAATCAATTTAGAAAGTAACACATATGTACATGGAAGGAAAACTAGGAATCTCCCTATATAGCTATCCTTACCCCAACTAGCAAAAACTCCTGGTGCCCCTTATTTATGTTTATACTCTCTCTTTAACAAAATTAGAAGGGAGGAGAAATGACCCAAACATTGTATGCACATATGAATAAAAGAAAAAAACAAAACAAAAACAAAAACAAAATTAGAGATAAAGGCAAAATAGTATCTGCTTGGAAGCGAGGGGGTGGGGGCAAAAGGGAGGGGGTAGGGGGAAAGAAAGGGGGTGGAGGGAAGGGGGAAGTAATGACCCAATCATTGTATGCACATATGAATAAAGGAAAAATAAAAAAAAGAAAGAAGCCAGAGTCTACCTGTGCACCCAGCTGGATCAGGGAAAGGGCAGTGAAAATTGAAAACTCCCCTGGGAAGGGGAAAGACCAGGGGGAGGGCAAAAGGAAAGGGGTCTCCATCAGTGCTGGATTGGGACTCTGGACAAGGACCTCTTGGTGAGGGGGTGCACTGTCCTCATCAATGCTGGAAGCAAATAGCCAGATGAAGTGGCATAAGGGATAAAGGTTATGCATACGGAGGGCATTTACCAAAGGCAACTCACGAACTCTGCTGAACCCACAGTGCACAACACACACACACTCTCTCTCTCTCTCTCTCTCCCCCCCCCCAACCCCCCATCTCGGTACCACTTTCAGTTCAGTTCCTCCAAAGAATCTACTTAAATTCTCAAATTCCTGAGCTCTGTAGCTTTTACTAAGACTTCAAAGGAGATAAGATGAGAGGGGTGACATTTGCACATCTTAAAGCAACATGCCAAATCCTTTGTTAGACATGTCCACATCTCCAACTGCCCTTCTGGAGCTGCCTGGTAAGAGTGAAGTTTTTCTCCATTTCCAGGCCCATTTCTCATTCAGAGGAAATGTGCACAGCCAGGCATTTGTTGACTCAGCTACTTGGGAGGCTGAGGCAGGAAGATCACTTGAGGCAGAAGTATCCCAATATAGTGAGACCCCAGCTCAGAAAAAAAAGAAAAATATTTATTTTCTAATCTCCATTTTATACCCAATCACTCTTCTTCCTGGGATGCTAGTGTCAGCAGAAGCTGATGAGGAAGTGAGGCCTGGGAGGTAGTAGAGGAGGGAATGAGGGGAAAGGGGAAGTGTGGGAGGGAGGGCCTCAGAGGAGACTGGCAGAGAGAAGAGGCAGAAGACAGAGACCCATCAGCCTGATCTGTCTCCCTACCTACGGCTACCAACATCTGCTGAACTATGAGCCAAACCAGAGACTTACAGGGTAAGAGAGGTGGAATAACAGCAACAAAACTGGAAGCAAGGACAGGCAGGCCTGGGCCAGGGAATCAGGGGAGCGGTTAGAGAGCCTTGAGGTAGAGCTGGGGTGACCCTGGGTTGGCCATGAGAGGAGGAGAGGAAGGGAGGTGATTAGCCTTGGTGCCCCCCACAGGAGGAAAAGCTTTTGGACTGCTGAAGGCACAACAGGAAGAGAGACTGGATGAGATCAACAAGGTAAAAGGAAGACCGGAGTGGGCAGAGCCTGGAGGATGGCCCTGGATGGACCTTTGCTCTTACCTTCCCCCCAACAGCAATTCCTGGATGATCCCAAGTACAGCACTGACGAGGATCTGCTCTCCAAACTGGAAGACTTCAAGAGTGAGGGGAAAACTGTGAGGCAGAGAGTGGGCTTAGGGTCAGGACTAGGATTTTCACAAGAACACAACAGGGACAACAAAAACCCAAAGTTCACTTTTGTATTGGGAAGAGGGGAACTTGCTTTTATTGTCCCCCTCCCATATTGCAGTTCCTTTCCTAGCTTACCCCCCTTAGTGTCCCCTAGTTCCCTCTACCTCAACAGGGCCCCTCAATCCCCCAACTCTACTTCCTCTGCCTGCCCCTCCTCCTCCTCCTTCCACATCATGCTTCTCCCCTTACCTAGCATTGGTCAGCCACCTCTCCCTCAGTATCCTGCCCATGACCCTACAGCCAACACTTGTCCTGTCTGTTCTCTCCCCTCACTCAGAGAAATACATGGAGTTTGATCTGAACGGAAATGGAGATATCGGTGAGAAAAGGGTGAATGGGGGAGTGTGTGGACCTAGGCAGATGGAGGTCTCTTTTCTATTTGCTCTATCCCTTGTGGATGGGAGGGGGCCCACCTATCAGAGGTGGATGTCAAATGGGAATGTGGAGGTTTAAGGAGAGAGAGAGAGAGAGAGAAGAGAGAGAGAGAGAGAGAGACTACCCACTCTTCTTCCCACCCTGATCCTCTACCTTTAGATATCATGTCCTTGAAGCGAATGCTGGAGAAACTTGGAGTCCCCAAGACCCATCTAGAGCTAAAGAAGTTAATTAGAGAGGTGTCTGGTGGCTCTGGAGAGACGTTCAACTACCCTGACTTTCTCAGAATGATGTTGGGCAAGAGATCCGCCATCCTAAAAATGTGAGTGTCCAGTTCCAACCTCATCTATACTTACCTGTTTTCTTCTCCATCCCCAGTCCTAACCTTGTCCCCAAGGCTCAACTTCTATACATCACTCAGTACCAATTCTTTCATGTTTAGAGGTGCTTTTCTAAGGCCCTGTCACCATTCATGGCTCTGGTTCCCACAGTCCCCAGCACTGCTACCCTTTCCCTATTCTTCCTCCTCCCACCCTCACAACCCTAACCCCTACTTGACTGTCATAGCAGCCTAAGATTTACCCTTGAGAGAAGTGTTCCCTGATGCCTATGTCTATTCCAGGATCCTGATGTATGAAGAGAAAGCCAGAGAACAGGAAAAGCCAACTGGTCTCCCAGCCAAGAAAGCTATCTCTGAGTTGCCCTAATTGGTGTGGGGGTGTGTCTTTGCACCGTGTGAATTGAAGGGATTTCTAATGATCCCAACATGAAAAAAGAAGACAAATTGTGAGCCAAAGTTAACCTAAATTAAATGAATTGTCCTCCCTCTCCAGATAAAGTCATCTTGGTTTTTATTTGGGAGATTTTTTTTCCTCCTGGATTTGGGAGGAAGGGGGTGTCTTTGAGGAAAGAACAGCAAGGATTTGCTCAAGTAAGCAATCCATTGTCAATTTTGTAGTGTATCTACTACAGCAGGTGGCTCTGTGCACCAAGGAAGATTCCAGATGTACAAGACAAGCCTCAGCCTGAAGGAAATAAGGTTAAGTTTTTTTTTAGTTTTATTTATTTATTTTTAGGTCACTACTGGAACCAAGTACTTTATTTTAAAAAAGTGCCAATACAGTGTTTAAGCCCCACTAGATAAATATTTTAATTTATGTACCAAAAGTACTTGAAATGTGTGTTCTCCTTCTAGTAATGATTCTTTTTTTTTTCATTTTTCTTTTATTATTCATATGTGCATACAAGGCTTGGTTCATTTCTCCCCCCTGCCCCCAAGTTTTTTTTTTTAATCTGTACATTTAGTACAGGCCATGGACACTTCCACAAAAAGTGAGGATTATCTTGAGACAACATTATTTACCACTGTAAACACTATGACCTTGACAAACTGACAAATCATTCAGCCTTTCTGAGACTTTTTTTTTCTTTCTTTCTTTTTTTTGCAGCACTGGGGTTTGAACTCAGGGCCTTATGCTTGCTAGACAAGCACTCTTCCACCAGGCTTTTTCGTGATGGGTTTTTTTCAAGATAGGGTTTCAAGAACTATTTTCCTGGGGCTGGCTTCAAACTGTGGTTGAATGAATGGAGAAACCAGGGAGGCATTCTGGGTGGTGATTATATATATATATATATATAATAGATAGATAGATAGATACAGAAACTGTATAAAATTTCAGATGAGGAAGAAATCATGCTCAACAATCTGAATCTACTGATCTAAATTCTTGAATAAGTTAATAAGGTATATAGATATAATGAAATTAATAGCTAATCTTTATAGAGGACCAGCTATGAACTGGACACTAGTCTAAATGCTTTCCATGTATTAATTCATAAAATCCTTACAACAATCCTGATGACACCAAGAAGGGTAGAAAGGACCTGGGCTTAAATAATTCATTCAGTCAGGATAAATTGGGTTATATTCACACAATAGACTATCATTATCCAGCAACAAGAATTAGTAAACTGTAACTACACACAACAGATATACATCTCATAAATATAATGTTGAGCAAAAGAGGACACAAAAGGATCCTTACTTTTATGATTCATTTGTATAAAGTATAAGGAGTTGGGATACTAGTTAGACTTGGGGGGCAGTGAATAACAGAAGCCCAAAGCAGCTTCTGGGGTGCTAGTTAAGGTTCTGTTTTTGGTCACATGTTCTGCTCAGTTTGTGAAAAATTATCAAACTGTATGTTTTGTGTATGTGTGTGCTGTAATTCACAGTGACTTTTTTTGCAGTACTGGAGATTGAACCCAGGGCCTCATGCATGCTAGGCAAACACTTAGCCACTGAGCTACATCCCAGCCCCTAAAAGTTTTTTAAATCCTTTATTGGGCATCAACTATGTGCCAGTACGTATTCTAGGTGATTGAGATGTAAGAGTGAACAAAATGGTGATTACTAACTTCACAAAGTTTTCATTCTACTTTGGAAGCTGGTAGAGGATGAGAACTGTCAATGAACAATAAACAGAATTTAAAATTTGTTATGGGCACTGGGGATTTAGCTAAGGAATAGAACACTTGCTAAGCATGTATGAGAGCCTAGGTTTGATCTGTAGCAGAGAGAGAGAGAGGGAGAGAGAATAAATATAAATAATAGGACTGGGTATAGTGGTTCATGCCTGTAATCCCAGCACTGGAAAGACTGAGGCAGGGGGATCTTGAGTTCAAGGCCAACCTGGGCTACACAGCCTGTGTCCAAAATAAACAAAAATAGTAAGAGGAAATAGCTGGGCACTAGTGGCTTTCACCTATAATTCTAGCTACTCAGGAGGCAGAGATCAGGAGGAATACAGTTTAAAGCCAGCCTGGGTAAGTAGTTCATGAGACCCTATCTTGAAAAAGCCCATCACAAAAAAAAGGGCTGGTGGAGTGGCTCTTAGGCCCTTAGTTCAAACTCCAGTACCGCCAAAAAAGAAGAAGAAGAAATAAATAAAATGTGTATGAGAAGTTGTATGAAAACAGGAGAAAGTACAGCAGGTTAAAGGAGTACCTAGATTTGGGATAAAGGAGATTAAAATTTGAGATGGGACCAGGTGTGGTGGAACACGCCTGTAATCTTAGCACTTGGATGGCTGAGGCAAGCGGCAGCAAGTTTCAGGCAAGCCTGGGCAAGATAGCAAGACTTTCTCGAAAAAATGAAAGGGAAGGAAAGAAGGGAGGGAGGGAAGAAAGGAGGGAGGGAAGAAGGGAGGGAGGGAGGAAGGAAGGTTAGAATGGGTAATAAGGATAGGCCTCACTACTTAGGTGATGAACATTGAGCAAAAACTTCAAGGAAGGAGAAAGGGTGAGTCATTGGGTTTCTGGGGGAAGGGTCAAATGAACAGAGCAAAAGGTAGCAGAAAAGCTCCAGAGACATATTTGGTAGTACCTGGTTGCACGTAGAGAAAGCCATAAAATCAGAGACAGTAGAGGCCCAGCCCATCTAGGATCTTGTAGGCTACAGTAAGGATTCTGGCTTTTATTCTGAAAGAAACAGGGCTCTGTTGCAGGACTTTGAACAGGCTTTCTTCGAGAGAAGCTCATTCTGGTGGCTGTGTTGACTGGCCAAGTGGGGGCAGACTCCAGGAGGCCAGTTAGGAGGCTGTTATCTAACCCTGGTGAGAAATGATGATGCCTCAGATCAAGGTGGAGGTGACAGAAGTAAAGTGATTGGACCCTGGATATTTTCTCAAGATAGAATTTCCTGTCTGATGGAAAGTGAGGAGTGAAGTTTGGGAGCATGGTTTAAGGGTAGAGTGCCTGCCTAGCAAGCACTAGGCCCTGAATTCAAATGACCTCAGTCTTGCCCCCACCATCCCCCCCAAAAAAGAAAGGGGAGAATACTCAATTAATGTTCTGAGATTTTGATTTAATTGTATTTATTTATATATTTATTTTTCCCCCCTTATTTTATTTTATTTTTTTGGTGTGCTGGGATTTGAAATCAGAGCCTCACACTTGGCTGAGCAGGCACTCTACTAATTTATCATTTATTTATTTGGTACTGGCGTTTGAATGTAGGGCCTCAAACTTGCTAGGCAGGCACTCCACCACTTGAGCCATGCCCTCAGTCCCAGACTATTTATTTGTTTGGTTGGTTCTGGCTTTTTTTTGCTGGGGTTTGAACTCAGAACCTCTTGCTTCCTAGGCAGGCACTCTACCACTTGAACCATGCCCTCAGTCCCAGATTTTTTGTTTTGGCTTTTTTTTTGACGGTACTGAGGTTTGAACTGAGGGCTTCATGCTTGCTAGGCAGGTGCTCTACCACTTGAGACACTCCACCTACTATTTTATGTTGGGTGTTTTCGAGATAGGGTCTCATGAACTATTTGCCTGGGGCTGGCTTTGAGCGTGATACTACTGATCTTTGCTTCCTGAGTAGAATTACAGCCATGAGTCACAGGTACCCAGCTAGGTTTTGGCTTTTTTGAGACAGGGTCTTATTATGTAGCTCAGGCTCCCCTCGAATTTGCAATCCTCCTGCCTCTAGTCAGAGTGCTGGGATTACAGCTATGCACCACCAGGCCTGGATTTAAATGGGATTTTTTAAATTGCCATCGGATGACATGGAAGTTGTATATAAAAAGGTCTTGAAGTCCTGGAGATGAAATGTTCAGTTTTATTTGGCTACACTGAATTTGAAATGACCTATTAGATATCTAAAAGTAGGCGTCAAATACATTGCTTAAATACAAGTAGAGTTTGAGAGAGAGGTCTGTGATGAAGATGCACATTTGGGAGCCATCATTGCATAATTTTATTTTTTAAACCATGAGAGTGGATGTTCTTGCCAGGCCCATTTTTGGTAGAGGGTGGGGTAAAGGCTTCACTGGAGTGGGTTTAAGAGAGGTTACAGACTCATGCCTATAATTCCAACTACTCAAGAGAAGTTTCCAGGCCAGCCTGGGCACTTGCCCAGTGAGACCTTATCTCAACTGAGTTGGGTGTGGTGGCATGGCACCTGTCATTCCAGCTACACAGGAAACATAAATTAAAGGATCATGGTCCAGGGTAGCCCCAGCAAAAATGCAAAACCCTATCTCAAAATAACTAAAGCAAAAAAGGCTGGAGGCATGGCTCAAGTGATAGAGTGCCTGCCTAGCAAGTGTGAGGCTTTGAGTTCAATCCCCCAGAACCACCAAAAAGAACAAAAAAGCAAATACAAGGGAGGGAGACAGAGAGAGGAATTGGAGAAGTGGTAATGGATAGTGCCTCCAAGGAAGGAAGGAGGGAAGGAAGCAGGGAGGGAGGAAGGAAGGAAGGTTGATTACTGCAAAGGGGAGCAAAATGATGTAATAGCTGGCCTGGAAAAAGACAACAAAACCCCAATACTGCCAAAAAAAAAAAAAGTTCATGGAAAAGAGGACAGAGAATTTTGAAAGTTTGAAAACTGAAGTCATCTTAGGCTGGGGGTGTGGCTCAAGTGGTAACTTGCTTAGCATGTCAAAGGCCTTGGGTTCAACCCCCAGTATGAGAAATAAATAAATAAATAAAATGATGTATGAAAACTGAAGTCATCTTAAATTTTAATGAGCCTTAGGTTAAAATTGTATTTATTTGGTGCTGGGGATTGAACTCAGAGCCTTGTGTATATGCTAAACCATGCTTACCACTAACAAGTGCTTACCACTAATCAAGATTAAAATTCTTTTAAAATTTAGTGAATACTTTATTAGTTTCTGTAATTAAAACCACACAGATAAGACCTATATTTAATACGGTGTGTTATTCCTGTACAAATGGGAAAAAATAAGTTTAACGTTTCTAGACTGATTTGGCTATTAATTTTTACAAAACGCCAACGCGGTAAACTGGAATACTTGACAGCATA